TACAAGAGGAAACAAAATCTAGGAATAACCTCCTAACTTCCCTAACAAAAAAGGAGATTTATTTGCTAAATTTAAACACAAAATCTAAACAACTTTAAAACAACTTCTAACTAAGTCCACATAATCTTAACTTCTAACTAATTCAACAAAAACCTTGTGAATCTTGATGGTATTGCACCAACAAATAATGGCTGAATCAAACAAATAGTGGCTGAATGGCTTTAATCTTCTTCTTTCATGCAAAACTTGAGTTCATACATTCTGAAGGAGGAAGAGGAGATTTATTAATAACCCTAGAGAAAACAGTTGCTGGAGGGTTGCTGTCGCGCTAGAGAAGGGTCTCGTCGACCCGCACCGAGGGGGTCGCTGCCAAGTATTGGAGTAGGTTCACCGCGCGGGTTGTTTAAACTAGGTTAAAAACAAAACAAAGAAAAACCAACCGAAAATATCGGTTCGGTTTTCATTGGAATATTTATGTAATTGAACCAACCCAAACCCGTTCGGTTCAATTTTTCGGCTCAATTTGATCTCTTCCACACCTAATGTCAATGCATAGGCATATCGTATCTTCAAAAAAATAAAAACATGTCCCCAACATGTCCATGTTCTACATTTTAAAAAATTGACGTGTCGCTGTATCTGTGTCATATCTGTGTCTAGCACTGCTCATGATTGAAAGAAATAACAACCATTTTCAAAATACCTATATATCTTTCAGTAATTCTGAGAAATTGAACAGCTTATGGACTCTTCTTGAAGTGCTCTTCACAAGAAATTTAGTAATTTTTCCATTTTGCTGATTAACTAGGATCAGGTTTGTTCCTTATAAATCATCAACCTAGGGAGGCCCCTTATCTCCCTTTTTTTCTGTATGCTTTTTTGTTTTTCTTAACGAATTGTTCTGTTTCTTTTTTTATTTTTATATATAAGAAAAAACATTAACAAGGAAAGAATAATGACCATCCTGAGGATGCACTTGCCTGAGTTAATGCAGTAGCATCAGCAATGGTGAATGGCACATTCACAACACGGGCAAGGGTTTTTGCAAGTAATGTCTTCCCTATCCTTAGTGATTCCATAAATGATTAATGAAGAAAACTCTTGCAAAATCAAGGCTCAAAAATGCGGAAGAAAATCAATCATACCTGAGCCTGTAGGACCCATTAGCAACACATTACTCTTTTCCAATTCCACAATTTCGTTATCATCATTATCCAATTCAATACTCAGAGATCCTTGCCCTGACCTAAATACAAATGTAGGCACCAAGTCAAAGCAGAGCACAACCATTAAAATTGAAGAAATATCTTTCCACTGGATATTAATATTAGTTTTTTTACAATATTTACTACTGCAGTGAACTCCTTAAACATTGGTAACCAATAATATTTCAAAAATAATTACAGAATGACACAACTAGACAACTCTTAGAAACTAACGTTTTCTGCAATGAGGCATGAGATATCCTCTTATAGTGGTTGTATACTGCCACAGAAAGCACCTGAAATGTTAACATTATATCAACAAAAATGATAGATCCATGGAAAAACCAATGGACCAAGAGTTTAACAATCCTAAACAACACTAGACTCCTTTGTGGATTAAGCCCCTCCCTTTCATCCCAATGTGCAGAATAGGTGCAAAAAGCTGGGAGTAGCTGGGACCCAAATTTCTTTGTAAATCAAAAGCTAATGAGCCTTATTTTGGGGATATATTTTTTAATTAAAAATATTATTTGAGAAAAGGATGAGATATCTTTCAACAAAAAGAAGGAAAATTACAAGAAATCAAACCATCTAACCGAAATCACAGAACATAGATATTCTACATTCTTAGACCAACAAAATGTGAAAAATAAGTCATTCTCTAGGTGTTGTTTGGAAAACCAACTTTTGCATCTTATAATAAAATTCAGTGAAAACATATTTGGGTATGCTAGTGGAAAAAAACAACTGAACAAAATTCAGTAGTTCTATATGAAAAAACAACTTCTCTAACTTCCTCATGGAAAATTCTTTCTAATTATTTTTATAAATATAATTACCGTTTTCTTCTATCATTGCCAATTGGAGTCTTTCTGTAACACTCCATGCTTCGGTAGGGATAGTACTCCCTCATTTGTAGTTTCGTTCTATCAACTATTCTATGCGGTTTCTAGCCAAACCATAAAAAGAAAAGCATATACTTCCTCAATTATAAAAAATAGGACACGAAAATCGTGCAGAATGTGTAGAAACTAGAAAATGCTCGAGAAAAATGACCTTCTTGGCTTTTTCTTGTCCAATGATGAACTTGTCCAGCGCCTCAGAAATTTCCTTGGGAGTAAGCAACTGCCTTCCTAAATCCGCCTCCCCTTTCTGGACACTGTCGGTTTGGAGCGAACCCAAGTTAGCATCGGCACCGCCGCCGCCAGAAATGGTGGGAAAATCTGGTTTGGTGGGTTTATCCAAGTCCGTGGCGCCCTTAACCCTACCAATCTCAATGAAAGTGCCGTGCAGAGGAAGCAACTTGAAGGGTCTGAAATAGAAGGCGGTTTTGCAATTGGGGCAGAGATTGAGGGCTTGATAGACGCCAGTCTCGCGGCCCGTAATGGACAATGGGCGATTGGAGAAGATGACAGGCATCTGCTTGGAGCACCTCGGACAGTTGACATCGGCCCTAATGTAATCGTAGTCGGAGGCTCCTTTCCAATTACAGGTGTGGCGTTTCTGAGAAAACCAAAGGCTCAATCCGGCGGCGTGGGGTTTGGGCTCGAGACAAGGAAGTGGGGCTGAGGAGCGGTGGCGGAACATCGAGGCGGCGGTGGCTGTGAATCTGAAGAGCTTGATGAAGCCGGTGCTGTTCTTCACTCTAAATCGTGGAATCATGCTTGCTTTGCTTTCAACAACTGCCTCTGCTCCGCTGATTCTTCTTACGAAGGGAATGAGCCGATGAGAAATGGAACCGTGCTCTGCAGCAGACACGATGAGTGCCACTCTCTTGATCTTTCCTTCTCGAAACAAATTCAGAGTTAATTCCCACTAGAGATTCATTTAATTCACACCAACCAATGTACCACTCCTTTTTATGTTTTACCCAATAAATGTGTACATGTCATTGGAACAAAAGTCCTTATCCTTAAAATTTAAAAAGTCTCTAATATTCTCTTTGGAAGTTTGAAGGTTGTGAAACAGGTAGTCAATTTTGTTGCTTTCTTCATTTTCTTAAGAACCTTGCTTAATAGGCTACATTTCAAAAGCTGTTTTTTATTTGGCTCGTCGTTTGGTTTGCCTTTATTAGTAAGGTTATGGTGCGGGTTTTTGTAATTTTAAACCCAATTTTATATTTCTGCATGATTTTGTGAAGGTTCACTATCATTCTCGTGCGGGATTTGTTGTTTCTCGATCGAGGTTCAAATGATTTGATGAACCCCGGGCGGGGTTTTATAGTTTTCACCCAGGGTCAAATGTAACGAATAAGAAAAGTTGACACGACCTCTTCCCCGAGCGTGGTTGTGGATTTTAATCACCTGGGCAGGAAAATAGGCCCTTGCCAGAGGTTTTTTTTCTTTTATCGTTGGTTTGTTTTTCATCTATAATTGTCTTGCACTTGTGCTTTGTGATTTTCATAATAGAATGCTTCGCCTTTTTGTTAGCTATGGGGCCAGTGGCATCAGGCAAGCACGGTATACGAATGTGGAGTTATGGGTGGTTTAGATGTTGATGAAGGCATAACATATAGAGACCTCGTAAATGCGATCTTTAGGTTTACTTGAATAAATTAGGACCTTTTCAATATTGTTTTACAATGTATCTACAAATTCGAGTTCCAGTACCAAGTGTCGAACTATTATATCTTTGATGATACTAGCTTTAGTTTTTTCCTTATGGGCCCTCCACATCCCTCTCAAGTACCCTTGTATGTATATGTTGTACCAAAGGAAAGACAAGGTAGTGGTAGCAACTCACACGATGTACCCTTATATCCCCAAACTGAAGCATTCTCTTCATTTCCATGTCAAGTAGGACAAAATGTTCCTTCTCCCGTTCCATTGAATCATATGCACTCCTCCCTACGTACTGTTCATCCCTCATCTTCTATACAATTAATGACTCCATTAACGGACAATGTTGTACCATGAAATTTAGGCAACGATGAACAAGAATATTTCGGTTAGTGGGATGAGGTTGGAGATGAGGATGATGAGGAGTATGAGTACATGATGTTTTGGGATGCTCTCGAAGATGATCTTGAGGATGATGATTACTCAGACACTGAGAATGAGGATGATAATGAAGCTGAGGAACCCGTTTGTGATGGTGATCCATCGTTAAGAACACTTGTTGTGGAAGTACAGTTTGTAAGTAGGAATGCACCTTGTGCAGAGGGTGTGCATGCATCCTTAAAACATAGCGATACAATTGGTAATGATGATGACTCGGTTGATGACATTGCAGTTGGCAGTGTTTTTCGGTCTAAGGATGAATTATGATTTAAATTGGTTGTTTTTACTATCAAAAAAATATTCGAGTATCGAGTTAAGAAATCTACTACGAGATTGTTAACTATTGCATGTACAAAAGAGGAATGGGCCCTGCATGCAAGAATAATTAAAGGTTCGTATACATTCCTCATCTCTACGTTTTTTGAGAAGCACAGTTGCGAACGAGAGACACTGATGCACGACCATCGACAAGCTGGTAGTTGGGTGGCCTTGGGTCAACCGATAAAGTCGAACTTTGAAGAGGTCAGTCGTTGTTACAAACCTAAAGATATTGTTAATGATGTACAAAAGAACTATGGTGTGAATATCTGATACGAAAAGGCATGGCGGGCGAAAGAAGTCGCACTAGGCCTATTGATGGGATCGCCTAAAGAGTCATATACTACCCTACATAAGTATGGGGAGGCTCTGAAGGCTGTGAATCAAGGAATTAATTTTCAAATGAAGTTGAAGGACAACACATACTTCAAGTACGCATTCATGGCCTTAGAAGGCTCGATTAGGGGTTTTGGAAGTTGCATACGGCCGATACTAATGATCGATGGAGCATTTGGAGGGGGAAAGTACAAGGGCGTCATACTTATAGCATCCTCATTAGATGGTAACAATTAAATTTACCATCTTGCATTCGGGATTGTTGATAAGGAATCTAATGAGTCTGGACATGGTTTTTGGAGAGAGTTAGGATTTGTATAGGTAACGTAAATGGTTTAGTTTTTGTATCTGACTGCATCAAACTTTAACGAACTCCGTGGCAACAGTGCTTCCTGATGTAGCGCACGTCACCTGTATGCATCATGTAGCGATGAAATTGAATGGGAAGTTTAAAAATGAGGGAATGAATAAACTTTTCTATAAAGCAGCAAAGATGTTTAAGGAATCAAAATTTTAGTACTATTGGGGCCAACTAGCCAGATTCCCTAGAGTCCAAAAATATTTGGAAGACATAAACTTCGATAAGTGGGCCCGCGTATATTAACCGAGAAAGAGGTATAACCAAATGACCTCGAATCTCGCTGAGTCCATGAATGCAGTACTCGTTCATGCTCGTGCTTTACCAATAACAGTTCTATTTGAAAACTGTCAAGCTATCCTACAAAAATGATTTTACGAGAGGTGGACAGCCGCCTCTAGTCGAGGAACAGTGCTTACTGAATATGCAGAGAATATTCTTCAAAAAGCGGCAAAACAAGCTCGATATCATCATGTCAAACCAATTGATCGGATTGAATTCGAAGTGCACGATGGTACGAGCAAGATACGTGTCAACCTAAATAGTAAGACCTGCAAGTGCAAACAATTTGACTATTACGAGATTTTATGCTCTCATGCCATTATTGGGGCAGTGCTTTGAAACATTAGTGTGCAAGTCTGCCAGGTACAAAAATGCGGCCGATGTGGAAACATCGGACACAATCGCAAGACGTGCAGGCAACCTCTTTGAACAACTGAAACCAAATAGATTGATATATTTGTTACTGAATTTTATTTTGTTGGAATCTGAATTATGTATGCTATGTAAATATTAGTGATTATGATTTGGTTGAAATCCGAATTATATATTTTCCAGGTTCATTTTGCATGCAAAGGAAATGCTGCCAAAATCTTCGCCTTTTTTTTTTCAGTTCTGCCGAAAACCCCGACCGAGGTTTACACAACCTCACCTGGGAAGTCGCTTCGTATGTAATATAGAATTGTAACACGACCTCGCTCATGAATCTAATGACCTTGCCCGAAAACTTTTATCATTTCAAAATCTTGTTCATTCATGCATTCAAAGTACCTTATGTATTATTTAAAATTTTAGTTGATTTATTATGAACTTAAGGTACGACGTTTCGATTATTATCATTCAAAACAATCAAGAATGTGTGAAGCAAGTTGAAAAGCACGAATTGAGTTTAAATTGAATTTGATTACAAAATAACGCAAATATTCTACGGGAATGTAAACAAATAGGCCTACTCGCCCAAAGTTGAAAAGCAAGTTGTCTCTTAAAGTACGGTATCCTAGCTTGTCTTAAGGTATCCAATGCGAACCCGGTTATATCATACTCACAATACTTGACGCAGAAAATACCACAATCACCACTGCCAATCTGCTATGGTGCTGACGTAACTCGTCGAATCCACTATGGATTGGTCTGTAGATTGGTCCGGACTTTCTTAACATCGCACTTGTAAAGCATTACGAGGATGATAGTGCACATTAACTTCAAGTGATCTTCCATAGCTGCATCTGTGGTTATGACTTTAGGGAGTCTCATACCACGATCTTGCCTTCCTCGAAGTCGATACAAACCATAACCCAATGGTTGCCTCCCGATGTTGAAGGGGAGATATACGACATCCACTTCCCTCCACCTCAAAGGGTAGTCTTTATGAGTGTCGTTAGTGTAACTCATGATGATCTTGTCCCTCCTGTCCCAATCGTACTCGGCCGCCACTCTCGAAGGCAATGAACTATCGGATTGCATGCATACATATGAGCCATCCTTACATCTGAAGTAGTTCTGTAACATCAAATTTAAACGGTTCATCAACGACCTAAGAACAATATCAAGTAAGTGGATAGTGTAAGATTGTATGGCAATACTAGAGGAGGGTGAATAGGGTTGCATATCGACTTTTCAATTTTAGAAAAAAGATTAACATAAACAAAAATCAAACGAAATTAAAATGCACAAATTAAAACGAGTAGAGAGAGAGATGACACCATAAATTTTTATAGTGGTTTGGAAATTCCTACTCCACTCTCCAAGACTCCTTCTTGGATATTTTTACTACGCCGACTCTCTTACAGGTGAGAACCAAACCGATCGACCCTCTTTTTGTCTTAGGTTAAAGAGAAACACATGATCCTTTTAACTGGTTAAAGATATAACCAATTGTGTTTTCTCACAACCCAAGGTGTACCCACACCCTAATACAAACCCAAAATGTAAAATAAGCAATACAAATAAAACACCTCACTAAGGTAGATTTACAAATTCAGCACTAAAGCAATAGCTAAAAAAGCTACACTTTAATGTATCACTCACAAAAAAAAATATATAGACAAATTTTGTGTGGAGAGAATGAAAATTTGAGAGCAAAATAATTGAAGAGAGAAATGTAGTTTTTGCTTGGATAATTGGTGTGTTGAAGAAGATGAAATTGATGGGCTTAAATAGAGTTTCGATGATGAATTTTGACCATTGGATTTAGGGCAACAAAGAATGAATGATGTAGATTAAGATAAATGATAAAGTAAAAGAAGAAAATAAATTTATGGAGATTTAGATAAATTTGTGGAGATTGAGAAATTATGGAGATGGAGAGTGATTGAGGAGATTGAGAGAAATTTGTGGAAATGGATTTGTGGAGATTGAAAGCGCCACATGTTGTCTTCTCATTTGTTCGATTGTTGGATGCCACGTCAGTATAAGTATGTCATCTTGATGCCACATGTCAACTTTTGAGTGGTTCACTTGTTCATGTCACTTGCCACGTATGATTTTTCTCCTGACTTGTTTGGACCATAACTTCTTTGTTTGAACTCCGATTTAAGTGATTCTAAAGGTGTTGGATTCGTCTTTCCAAGCTCTACGCTATGG